TACATTCTGTAGTCAAAGCTCACTCTTATAGGTTGTTTTTTTTTTCATTTGCGTAGACAAGCGCATCGTAAAACCGCATAATACGTGAGATTGCGGCTCCTTTTTATGCCCTTCATGTTTGAGCTTAAATTTTCTTGCAGTCTTATATAGAAAAATGTGATATATTATCTTATATGGAAAAATGTGATATAGCTGGTCCAAATTTGCATAATGAGATAGTATTTCACTTACATACGCTGCACCTTTCGATACAAAAATTTTCCAAAAATTATTTAGATTGAAGAAACCATACAGCCCATAAACTAATCGCCAAAGGAAGCATGGCATGACCCTTGCCAAGCCAGGTCCACTTTTGCAGACTTTCCTCCGCATTGTCAAACAAATTTTTGCTACCACACTATTTTGTAGTGATATGTACATTACAAGCTTTGACAATGGCATTCAGTGTAAATGTATACATCTGGACTTTCGCTGAGAAATTTGCATATCTTTCCCATATCAAATCTGGATTCGTGTTGTGTTCCAATGGTATGCGCTAACGTTTGGATCCATGGTGACATTGAGTATTGAGAAATGCGAAGTTCAATTCTCTCCAGTTGTAACTTATATATAGCAAATAATGCAAACCCCTCTATTTTGCGCGAAGATGAGCACTTGAAAGTTGATAGTTTTGTCTCAGTAGAGAAAAACTTTCTTACGTGAAGCTTGCCTCCATATAAAAAACTGAACTGTAGGTATCGGGTGAACCTCATGACTTCTGAACACTGTGGACACATCGGCAATGTTTTTGCAACAGCTTAGGCTAGTTCCCCGCATTGTGTGCCTTGTAGCATGTGTTTCATCTTAGAAAGCTTCAGCTTTGTACATTACGCACAATTTCTCACTTGTACTGGATAAGCTTTTTATTAATTTACAATCTGTGGTTTTGAACGCTGGTTTTTAAATAAGTCCAATTCTCTTGCTCACTTAATTTGTAATAAATCTTGAAAGTTTTTTTTATTCGCATTTCGGCATTGCTCGCGCTGTCTCTAATTTCAAGAAC